ACAGGGATTTATTTTATCTTACGAAGAGGAATGTTGGAAATGATTGTTCTGTATGTGCCACATTCCATAAATAATTAACATTGGAGTAAAAACTATAAGGAAATCATTGTCAAATCAAAGGATATGCTTAACCTTTCCTTTTTAAATTTTCACAGGTAAAGTGCTATTAAAATATTCAGAAACTGTACATTTCATGTGAAGGCCCTTGAGGTTCATTGGTGCTCTCCTTAGCTCTATTGACAGAAGACATTGATCAAACCCGTGTGAAATAGTTCTGTACCCAACAGGGAGGCCTACATTCTTTTATTCTGACAATATTGGTCACTGTAATAAATTAAATGCAGTCATTATTTCATTATTTTAGAGAGTTTTCACTTTGTCTTAAATATTTGTGTGAGGACTCTTTCTTTTCATTAGTATATGTTTGCAATATAATATAAATATATTCTTCACGGGGTTGGTACATATATATAGGGCAACTTGATCTTTTTACTTTACCTTTCCCTCCCTTCCATTTTGTTTCTCCTTAGTACAATGCATTTTTAAAGAAGAGTTTGAAAGCTGTGTGAGATGAATTATACCAGGTACTTCATAAAACACAAACTTAGGTATATTCTTCTGGGTTCTCCATGCGTAGGAAGTTTTTAGGTTTAACGACTGACTGAGGAACTCCCTGACTCTTTGGTTCTGAAGCAGCTATACCTGATGGAGGCAGGAGGCAGACTTATTGGCTCAAGGTCAGTAGAAGATGAATTACATCATGTGTCACTTAATGATGGGGATAGGCCTGGGGTAATCTGTTTTTCAGTGACTTCATCCATGTAAACATCAGAGTGTATGCACACCAACTAAGATGGCTATGAGCTCATCAGGTGTTATAACCTTATGGGACCATGGTGATATATGTGGCTCATAATTGATCAAAATGTTATGCACAGTATGATTGTACAAAGGCTAAATGAAGAAGAGAAATTAAATTATTGTGATTAATTTGATGTATTATTAGTTTTTAATACTTTATTTTTAATGTTACATGAGAAAACTCTCTTCTTAAGCTCCTCCTACCTCTCAGTTTAGTAGAATTTACTCTTGAAAACTGATATGAAATATTTGAATGGCATCCAACCCTCACTTAGGAATTCAGAAATGCTTGTACTGAATATTATCTCTCCAACTGCCACAAAGCCATTTGCATAGGTTCTGTAAAAATCTGTCTCCCTTTTTTTAGAGTATAATTGGACAAACACATTGTGCTACTGAATCTATACCAGGGGTGTCATATCCGAGATTAAATCTCCTTTAATCAAGCATGACAAGTCCACCATTAAGAACCTAGGGTTGCCTTTAGATAAGGAACCTATGCTACCAAATATATTCCTTCTCAGAGCATCACTTGCTGAAAGACTGTCATCAAACAAGACATGAACTATATGAAAAAGTAAGAGAAGGGATGATGAAGAAGAGAGAAAAAATAGTGTATCAGTTTCAGCTATTTATTAAATGTATAATGTAATAGCTAAATTGGGACTCTGAACTATAAGGGAGCCATCACAGAAAATTCTAAATTTTCTAAAGAAAATTCTAAAACAGGGCTTAGAGTATAAAGTACTAAAGTGCATGCAGTGAGCTGTCTCTGGAGAAACAAAAATTAGGTTGGAAAGGATAGAGTAAAGCCTTCTATGAACAGGTAAAAAGCACATGAGGTTGTCTTAGTGAGAAGAGAATGAAGGACAGAGAAATAGAACATTGGTAGAGGAAGCAGTTGGTATCTTGTTTCAAATATCAATGCAGATAAAGTCATCTGATTATGAGAGAAGACAAATAGAATGTATTTTTAAAGGAAAATATAGAAGAATTTCTAAATTAATACAGAAAAAAATTGGAATAAATAGCCATTTGATTTGACCAGGGGAGAAAGTAAGAGAAAAGGAAAGTGTCATGAAAATTGGGGATTTTGAAGAAAAAAATCAAACATAATGGTCAGTGTATTAAATAGAAATGTACTATATTCTATTATTAAAAGGTGGAATATCAGATTGGCTTAAAACCCAAAACTTAGTCCATGCTGGACTTAAATGTGTGATCCTCCTGCCTTAGCCTCTGGAGTAGCTGATTGTAGGTGCTTGCCACAGTGCCTGTCTATGGAAATATATTTCCTAATCTAGCCCTGCATAATCATTTAAAGATATCTGGAGTTAGCACTCATGCTTTAATTACATATCGCACCGTCTCTCAATTCCACCACATACACAGCTTTGTATTAGTCATGTTCCCCTTTTCTTAATATTTATTGTTGAATCACAAAAATGTTTCGTAGGTTGCATGTTTCACTCTTTCTCCAAACTTGATTTTGTAGAATAAATTATGGTAAATTTATCATAATCTTAATCTTCTGTTCTCATAATACAGAATCATAATCTTAATAACCAGCATCATAATCTTCTATTCTCATCTCTTCCACTTAAGAAAATACTACACATGCACATACATGCAGGCACAAGATATGCGTGCATACCGTTTTATTCTTAGTGTAATTCTGTCTCTTATAAGAATATAATAATATTCTTATAAGAGACATAGACAAGAATATATAATATTCTTATAATACTGGAATTTTATGCCTCTTATAAGAATATAAATAAATCAAATTGATGCAGGACTTAAAAAGAAAAAGTCAAGTTTCCACATACTTCCCCATCCCTGTAGCTGTTGTTCTTTGTTCTAATACAGATAAATACAATAACTTTAGTCCCCATAAGTAAAGTTTTATAAACTGTTCTCATAAAATCCTGTTTTGTCAGGGCAAGACCACCAAGAAACGCTAAGCTGCAAAACTATCTGCTTATGCAAAATTGCTTCCTGGCCTACAAGTTCCATACTAAAGACCAAGCCACTTGGCAAATGTATAAAACTGGAGCTCTTCATTTGTTCGAGATTCAACCATTTTACACATGAGTCTACTGATTAGGTGTACACCTAAAATAAAGAAATCCTCCCTGTTCTCTCCTTGTCTCTCCAGACTCTTAAATTCTACAACAAAAACACTTTTACTTCTTATGAGAATGTGGTAGGGATACTAAGTGGAATAATAATGTTCCGTAATATTTCTACATTAATGATGTATGTAGTGTTATACCCTATGCTAACAATAATTCAGTGTTAGATACTGAAATAAATGCACATGACCACTATTTAATGACAGGCTAGGCTGATATGCTTTTGTTTTTTCTATACAAATAAAAAGTTTTATATTGGAAGGCTCAGGATCTGGAGAGATTCTATGATCAACCACAATAATGTTTCACTCCCCTCCCTTTTTTCCCCTCAGAAAACTGACAGCATCATGAATATACTTTAAAAAATATCGTATCCATCTTGGTGATTGTGTGCTTATTACAATTAGAAAGTTAATAAGCACTTTATACTGATTTGATTAATGATTGGGAGAATCAAGGAACCAAATAATTTACACTAAAGTTTTAGAAACAATGTGTTAGTGGTACTCTGTGTTGAGAAATCTGCACTTAAAAGAGGTTGGTATGTATCACAAAGATGAGAAAGGTCAGTGGCGGGTATTTTGCTATACTTTTGCAGAAGGGCCATTTACAGCTAAGAAGAAAATACCTCAGCTCACCCTGTGATTTTTTATTTTGGAGCTTTAGAATACTTGTCAGGTGCCTGAAGGTATTTTGAATGTTCATAGCTATGATTGTCCTCTAGATCTGAGGGAAGAACAGTGAATGGCCCCTTCTTAGTCCTGAGTGAAAAACCGCCAGTGACATTCAAGGAAAGCGAAAGTTTCCATCTCATGGACCTTTGTTTCTGGGAATCAAAACTAGGCACAACTGCACAGAACTTTGTTATGTGACCATGTGCATTAAATATATCCCCACTTGACTGACCTTGTTAGCACCTGACTGGCTCAACTGTGCCTTACAAGGGTAAATATGCTTTTTCAGGATGAGTGACACAGTGAGTGTCAAATGACCATTTTTCACTTTCGACGGTTCACTTCGAAGGCACTGTTTTGTGTGTCTATGGATCCTGCCCATCTTATTCAAGCTTCCCTATCCTAGATAAAAGTTGTCTAAACTAGAACCCCAAGACCTTACAAATGGCTAATCATTGTTTTCCTCCTTCTGAGAGTCTGATTTCAAGGCAGCATTTCATGAATAAATGCTGGACAAAAAATAAATGGATGGGTTATTCCTGCATTGGATTTATCCTGTCTCTGGGGATATACTGACTAAAGGTGACCACATATACTGACGGTAGGTGTGAATGTGGTAGGGATACTAACTGGAATAATAATGTTCCTAAATGTGTCTACATTAATGATGTACGTAGTGTTATACCCTATGCTAACAATAATTCAATGTTTAATACTGAAATAAATGCACATGACCACTATGTCAGGACAACAATATCCAGGAAAGCCACGTCTTTTCTTTTTTGCTTTTAAGATGTTAAATTACGGGAATGAGATGAACATTCAAACCTGGGGGAATTTGATTGATTAAGGCCTTAAAATTCAAACAAAGTTATTGTGTCCATAACTCTCCTTGAGTTTAGTAGCAAAATAAAACAACTTCTTCTGTACTGGGTAAGATTTTTTAAAATGCCCCTGAGGTCCCTGTATAGGTTATTTGTAGTGCTGCCCTCCTCCTTGACATAGGCTTTGGTGTCCCAACTGGGACAGAGATGAAGATGTGAGAAAACAGGGAACACTGGTCGAATTTTATAAAATTAAAGAACATGAAGGGGCCTTGGGGTAAACACGATCAGTCTCCTAAACTTATAGAGAAGGGACACAGGGTTGAAGTCGCAACTTAAATTACGTTTTTAGTGGCTGAATTAAGACCAGTCATGGCAAGTGAATTTCATGTTCCTAGAAGTTACAGGCTTCAAAGTTACTTTGAGTTTAGGAAATAATGACTAATGCTATGGTAGATATATCTCTATCTATCTCTATCTCTATCTATATCTATATATAGCATATATTCATATGTATCTCAAAACTCTTTAATATTTCCTTTTTCCTATCTCTTTCTACCCTCCCACCTCTTTTTTTCCCGTTCCTTCTTTTACCCTTAAAATATATGTAAATCTAAAAAAAGTAGAAAAGCAAAAAATCCAAACTTTGTAATTAAATAAAACTAGGTTTCCCCCCTGTACAGTTCAAAGAGTGTTTGTGAGAAATCTGAGAATTCATGTGGGAGTTAAGCACTAATTTCCATATATAGAAATTCCATCTGTAGAAACCCACTTAAGTCAAAAGTAAAGGTAATGGGAAGATAAGATTTCTTTACAACAGATTTTCAAAACTGACTTCAAACAGGGGACCCACACCATATATTGATTTCTTAGAGTCTCAAAAGACAAAGCCCACTGAATTAATTTACTGCTCTGTATCCTGTGGTCTTAGGAAGTACTTAGCTATATTTTTCCTGTGAGTAAACTCTGCCTGGAAATTACTTTTGGAATTAACCACATCATCTCATTCCAGTCACTAGGGTGTCATTCAGTAAATTACTTCTTTATTGCTCCTTAGTGGCGAAAAGAAGGAAACCAAGAGTGGTGGTAATTTGTTAGAAAAAAGACAGCTCCATATTGCAAGTATTTCAGCAAAGTAATTCCATGTTTTTAGATCTCTTCTACTTTTTTTTTTTTTTTTTCAGGAAACATCTGTTGAGCACCTATTACAGAGAAGTATTTTAACTGGGCAATGGAGAGACAAGATTAATAAAGTCATCCCTGACTACAAAAATTAAGTTTAGTGAGAGTAGCAAGTGACAATTAATTATGGTGTATTTTCTTGGAAGGAGCATGTGCTGTATTACCTGAATAGAACAGGCTTGTGGTAGGGGGAGAGTGGCAGATGCAATAACAGGTGGCCACAGCGCAGAGTGGTGGTAGTGGAGGTGCAGGTGGTGGTGGCAGTGCCGGGGTGGAGAGATAGTGGAGAAGGTGAGGATGGTTGGGGTGGAGGTCACAGTAAGCTTTTCAGAGAGAGTAATTATTGAGTTGAGTCCTGAGAGATAAATGGGAATTAGCCAAATGAGAGAAGAACATGTTCCCAAACATAATACAATGTATTTTATTTGAAAGTTTCCACTTAGTTAACAGGAGAGCAATTCAGAGAGATTCTTCAAGGTCTTCTTTCAGAAGCTTGGCTCCGCTCTCCTGCTGTGCGGTTTGCATCTCATACACACATCATCTCATCTCCCTGCACATTTGTAATGTATTCTGGCAGAGGATGCTTTTGGCCTCATGTCAGGGTTTGATTCAAAGCAACACCTTCTCCATCGCCTTTGCTATAGCAAGAAGTATGCTATGCGTCATCAGACCGCCTGGTAACATTGACACTTTTATATATCCCTGAGATATAATTTCTGTATCTGAAAGGCCAAAAAGTTTGTAGAGCAAGTTTTTGGAGAAATAAGCAAAATAAAGACAACCTGTTAAATTTTCCAGTGTCGGTGCACATAAGGAAAAATGGTATTCTGGGGACTAAGGTCAGCGAGGTGAGAAAAATGATGCATGAGGCTGTCGCATAAATCTCATTGGTGTCCTATAGCTTTTAATCTGCTTCACGTCAGTAGGGATTTAAAATGCCTGTCCACCAGGCATGGGTCAGTCAGGATATTCCTTCAGGGAGCCTCAGAAAAAATGTAGATCTTTTTTTTTATATCTTTCTTGCCATGTAGATCTAAAAATCATGATGTCATTCATTTTTAAAAATAAGCTATGTCACTGGTTTTTAATTTTAATTTCTAACTGATACATAAAACATAAAATTGTAATGGGGTTTTATGTAATGTTATGCAGTGTCTGTGTGTATATTTATATCTTCTAAAACATTTACCATTTCTTTATGATGAAAGCTTTCAGACTATTTTCTTCTAGCTTTTTGAAATGTACAGGACATTATTGTTACTTATAGCCCACGGGATTATTCTTGATACTGAGACACAGCAGTGGCCTCTGTTCAACTCACACGTTCACTTCAGCTCTCCTTAAAATCAATTTTATTTCAGTGCCTGCCAGCATATTTTATGTTTGACTGATACTTTCTTTAATTATATCTATATCTATCTATATTGATACATGGATATATCTATATATTTTCCACAGAACTCAAGGTTATAGAAACACTTTTGTAGTATTGACTGTGATTGAAATGATGCATGTTCATGCAGATAGTGGTACGATGCATCCTAACTTTAACATCTCTTATTTGGTAAGTGCTTATTATAAGCCAGACATCATCTTTCCATGAGGAGGAATTTCACACTTGCAACACACTTACTGGGTGTGTATTATCATTTCACAAAGAACACCCATGTTTGGAAAGGTAAGAGAATTTTTGAACATCACCTACTAAAAAGTAGGAAAAGAAGAATTTGAATTCAAAGCCAGTTTCCTTTGTGCTACATTGAACGAATTTTAATCTTTCATAGATGCATATGAACAGAAATTTTCTGTCTTCACTGTGTTTGAACTATGGATGCCTTCTAAATGTGAAGCCGATAAATTAGATCTTTCCAAGATATTTAGATATATGACTGAAGAATGGAAAGTTTGAAAACAGTAATGCAGAAGACTATATTGTAGATGGTAGAAATTTTACAGAAATGGAACTTGAACTAAAGTCTTAAAGATATATTAGATACACTGATGACAAAAAGGAATATATTTCATAAAGAGGGATATTATTTGAAGGAAATGTCACAGATATGGATATTTATAAAGAGTAATGATAGCTGATTTTTCAGTGCTTATAATTTAAAACATTGCCAGGACCAAGGTAGAAAGTCGGGGCTGAGCACCTAGTGAGGAGATGGTGTAAAGACAAATATCATACTTAACATTTTATTGAGATGAACTGTGAAAACAATGACTTCTCCTCACTTCATATAGAAAAAAATCCCAGAATGTCCTTGTAATGGTTGCATTTCAATAGACAGTTCCCACATCTATGCATGCAAGAACATCAATAATGTTCAGTAATTTTGGTAGGTAATACTCTGAGATTAATCAGAAGACTGACGTACAAGCCAGTTTGCACCTAACAGCTTTTTCCCTTGTCTTTAGAAAAGCATGGTTCTTCAACCAGAAATCCTGCCAAACATGAGGTTGTAATGTTTTTAACATTGGTAAGCTCTCTATGGGAAAAGGTAAATCAGCTAGCAATTTCCATGAATTTTTACATGATTCTAATAGACTTTTCATTCTAAGTTTTCTTTGGAAACAATGCATTTTTTCCCTCCAAGTCCAGAATGAGAACAAGATGAGTTGCTGTAGTGTGGCAAGTTGAAGCCAGGTGAGCTGGATACAAGTGGAAGATGTGACAGTGCAGCTGTTTGGTGTCCATCAAAGGACTGCATGATATATTAAAGTCTTCACAACAGACTGTCCATTCAGGAGGAAGCAGCAAGACCAGGGTTCGGCTGGTGGTCTGCAGCTTTCTATACTGCATGGTAGCAATTTCTGATTGGTTGGGTGGGATCTATGGTTCACAATGTGTGATTGAAAAGTATAGTGAATGTTTAATTTTTAAAAAAAAAACTCATTATGATGTAAATATGCATTGACATTAGTGCCCCTTCCTTTGAGCACACTTATCCCATTGTTGTTGCCACTTTCTGAAGCAGTTCTGGAAGTCCTCTTTCATGAGTACTATTGGTTGCACTGTTATGGCTGCCTTTAACTCCAGAATTGATTCAAAACATTTACCTTTCCAACAGGGGCTAGTGGCACACTCCTGTAATCTCAGCACTCAGAAGGCTTAGGCAGGAGAATCACTGCAAGTTTGAGGCCAGCCTGGGCTATGTAGTGAGTTCAAGGCCAGCCAGAACAAATAGTGAGACCCTGTCTAAAAACAAAAACAAAAATAAAAAAAACAAGCAAAAAAATGCTTACCTTTCATCATCATTTTGACTTTGGGGAAGAGCCCCAGAAGTCACACAGTGCCAGATCCAGGGAATGAGGACATGTGGTAATGTTCTCACGAGCCTGGATGGTATGCAGCAGCAGCATTCACCATGTTTTTTTAAAATCACATCTGAATAAGACACTCATGAAAGAGAACTTTCAAATTGCTTTAGGAATGGCAAAAATGATGGGATGAGCATGTGCAAAGTGAGAAGGGAGCATTTTGAAGGGGACTAATGTAATAACATTGTAATAATTTTTAAAAATTTAAATACCCCTCTGTTTTTGTAAATTTTTTTTCATTTTTGTAATTTTAAAGAGAAATGAACAAAAATAAATTTATAAATACAAAGACATAAACAAAACAGCCCTAAAACAATTAGATACTAAATTTCAAGCAAGGTGATAGGAAATTAATAATGGTAGTTATATTACATACTGTTATCTGCAAATTCATTACTCAGATAGTTAGATATAAGCATATAAGATTGATCAAACAATTAAACATTAACTGTTCTTTTCAACAAACCAATAGAAATTAGTAGTACAATTATCTTAGCTATCATGTGTGTGTATATATATATATACTTTTCCCCTTCCTTCTTTCTTTCTTTTCTCCTTTCCCTCATCCCAGTTGTTCTTTCCTTTTGAGCAGTTTCTTTCCCTTCCACAATATCTATTGTACCTTTCAGATTTGTAAAATATTTTGAATACATCACCTTGAAAACAGGCTGGTTACATTATTTGTTTATCCTCAGAGCAGAATAAAAATGAGTGTCTTTATTCCAACACCAGGAAAAAATTGTCATTGCCATAGATACTAATATATGAGGTTTTTCCTTTCTTCTGTAGTTTCTATCTCAAACTATCAGGTACTTCTTATTCACTGCTAATGCCAGTTTACACATGGGCAAATTAAAAGTTAGATAAGTAAAAAGTTATTTAGAATTTCAAAATTTAACTGCGGCACTGGGGGAGCATGGAGCTTTTGAGTGTGGATTGCACACTCAGGGTGCACACTTGTCATGGCAGCCCTGTGCTGGGAGCAGTAATATTAGGAAACTTAGCAGTACCAAGATGAGCATTTGGTTACAGAAATTCTTAGAGGATAAAGAAAGAAAGTAGGAAAGAAACCACAGACTTCATCTAACCTATGAGGAAGGTAGCCATGAGCACCAGGTTCCTTTACCAAGGTTGTGGGGAACCCTGCAGACAGGGCATGACTGGATGCCAGCAGAGCTCAGGTTTTGATCTCTTCTAAAGTCCAGGAGGAGCAATTGTGGGGAGTGGAGAAACTGACCCTTCCTACCAGCTGTTAATGTACAAATGGATATCAACCGAGAAGAACATGAACAGTGTGTGTAGAATTTTAATTCTATTCTATGCCCTGTTTGGTCCGTATTTTACTGAATGACTTGGGAAGACATTTGGCAATGGAATATAGGGTGAAGAAGAGGAATAAATTAACCGAAATAAAAACAAAAGTGTTGGTTCTACATTTCAGCCTGCTCCAACTAAAAGGAGTTGTTTAACATAGAGAAAAAGCATGCAAACAAGGCATGGGAATAAGATGTAAAGTATGTATATTTGCTGTAGCACATTTTAAAAAACTATGGGCTTTATTACGATTATGCAAGTAATACACAAGTCAGCAGTACTAAATAGTGCATGTAAAGTGGTGAATTTGTAATTGAGCTACATAGATAAAAGAATAATATCTTAGGGGCTGGGGATTTAGCTCAGCGGCAAAAGCGCCTGCCTGGCAAGCGCAAGGTCGTGAGTTCGGTTCCCGGTACCGGAGAAAAACAAACAAAAAAAAAAGAATAATATCTAGGACAAAGATGGTGATAATGAAATTCAACTCTGTATTCCTCAGACCATATCTGTGGTTGTGTTAAAAAGGATATAAACAAACAAGACTATGATTATTGGAACTGACTAGGAATCAGGTAGGCATTCAAAGCAGAGCACTTTAAAAATGGTAGATAAATGAAATTATTTTGCTTTACAGTGAGTCAAACTTGATGGCTAGATAGAAGGGGAGAAATGAAAGGTGTTTGTGACCATTTGAAGAGTTCTCATGCAGAAGAGTTAGATGAACTAATGGATGAAACTAGACCCAATGGTGACCTTAAGAAGAGGATAGAATCTAGCTCAATGCTATAAGGAACTCTCAATTTTAACTACTTTTAAAAGAATAAGTGAACTGTTTCAGGAAGTAATAAATTCCCTGTTGGTAAAATTTGGATGTGGTGTTATCAAGAAAGGTTAGGTGATAAAGTTAAACCAAAGGTCAGGCCACGACCCTTACAGGTATAAGATGTAACATATTTTAGCTTGTTTCTCATGGACAAAGATGTCTAACTTTACTAGAAGAAAGTTTGGAGCATTAGAGAAAATCTATGTAAACCATTTACTATGTGCTAAAATGCTATGATCATAAAATATAGAATGTATTACAGGAGATACAATCACTAGGCATAGTACTTGAACATACTTCTGATGAGCGAATGGGCCTACTTAGATCTCAATATATCTGCAAGCCTTCAGAAAGGAGGGACTTGGTTAGCACAGTTCTTTTTTTCTTGTATTTTAAAAATAAAAGGAGGAAAACATTAACAGACAGATAACCTTTTACAAAATAGCAAAAGAACAGTACAGACAACAGAGTTACAAAGTGGTAGGAAATTAACAATGTTTGTTGTATTACATATTGATATCTTCAAAGTGGTTTCTCATGAAAACAGATAGAGACATGCAATATTGATCAATCAAGGACTCATTGACAGTTTCTTTCTGCAAGGAAATAAAAGACAGTAGAACAGCTATGTTAACTACCCTGTATATACATACATACAAAATTTCTCCTTCCTTCCCTTCTCTTTTCCCACATCCCAGTTGCTCTTTACCCTTGAATGTCTGAAACCATGGAAGGTAAAAGAGTGAGATTTTGTGAGCATTAATATTCTTAGAGAGTTCCTGGTCAATCATGAATTTTAATATGGCAGAATAATATATAATTTTGAATTTTGATATTCTAAACAAAAATGTGAAAAGAAAATGAAATTTAATCTATCACAAGACTAAAGGAAAATATCTAAAGTCCAATATTGTCTTCTGATAATCTGTTATCTGATGTATCTTTTAGGAACAAGTGTATTTTCTGGACTGGGGCCAACGAATCATTAAAATATCATGGAGATCAATATTCTCAAGCTAGTCAAGTTGAGTAAGATAAATTCCATTTTATAACTGGGAAAAATGGGACTATACCAGAAGTAAATATGTTCAATGCCTTCCACATGTCAATGTTCAATGCCTTCCACATTAGTTGCTTTACATTCTTTCACAGACCTTCAGTAATCTAGCTGAAGTGTTTTCACCCTTACCCAAGTGAGGCACTGAGCTCTATGAAGGCTGAGACTGTGCCTCTTCTATTCATTATATTTATTCCCAGGACTTAGCATTGTGTCTGGTGTATTGGGTATAAAATAAATATTTGTTGCACTAATGTACAGAAGAATGAACAAATGAAAACATTGAATCTCTGGAAGAACAAGGAAACTAGCTGAAGTCAAGCAAAGTTCTATCAGTGGTGGTGATCGCCTCAGACTTGGATCCCTGTGCTAGAACCTCTTCCAAGGGCTGCAGAATCTGCCTGCTTTCCAGGTGCTGTGTATGGTGCTATGACTGATAGTTTATGCATTTTTATGCTGAAAGACCATTGAATAGCTGGCAACTGATGTTGAGTCAATATAAAATAAAATATTTCTGCAGATTTTTATCCTCTCCAGATGCTTGGATTATTTGTGTTTATATTTTAGGAAGCTCATTTTATACAAGTTGATTCCACTATTTTTTACTATATATCAGATATTGACTTTAGAATACTGCACTTCTAGTCATGACAGTAACACATATGTGAGAGAACAAAATTATGCAGACTTGGGTTTAAATTCTGACTACTATATATAATGTAAGTGATATTAAATGAATTTCCTAATGGGAATAATAATCCTCCTATAGGTTCATTTCTTATTTTCCCTTTTATTCAGAATTAATTGGAACAATGTGTACAATTTTGCTTGACATAAGATATTACATGTACTTGACATATATAATACAGACATCAATATATTAAACCATTGCTCATTGAAATTACTGACATATGCTCATCGTATAAAATGCTGAAAGCATAAAGGTATTTAAGATAAAGTAAAAAATTTCCTCCTCAGAGATCACTACAATAGGAATTTGTTATATTCCTTTATCATTTTCCCTCTGTACCTTTTTATCATTTTCCCTCGGTACCTTTTTAAGTAGTTGAGATAGTACTGCATATATAATTTTGTGAATGGCTCTTTTTGTTTTTAGCTCAGCAAGAGACTAATTTGATTAAGAGGTAAAAGCTGAAAAAGTCAGAGTGCTTTCCCTACAAGAGCATTTTGATGCTTTTCACAGACCCTAATGCGCACTTCTTTGTTTTTTAAATTACTTTTGTGCTGAAGGAGAGATGAAGTTGAAATCTTGCTCCCTGGTACATCTGGAAAGCAGTCATTCTGCTCTCTAATTGAAGAATAAATGCCCAGCTTTACTTTGTGCTTTTCCCAGGCCTGTGCTAATCAGGATGCTGCATCTTTGAGCTTTTAGATCATTACTGATGGACATTTTGCTCTGTTTGTTCAATAACCTTTCTTTTTTCCTTTTCGGTGTTTGCTCATTAGTAATGGAAAGGGAAAATAAATCAAAGAACCTGAGTATATATTTATAAGGGCTCAAAACTGTGACTTGTTTGTGAGTTTCTGAAGAACCTCAGAATATTTAATTTGGAAACCAGGTGGGCTTGTAGAGAGGTGAGTGCTGCCTCTGACAAAGGATACACTAATAGTGAAAGATGTTATTTAGCTTTTATTTTTCTGGCCGTGTTTCTCAGATTCTGCTAGTGTCAGGGACTGTGAGGGGTTTATGAGCTGGTGCTTTGGCCCTCACTTTGTCTAAGGAAGGTATTGTCTTGTCAAAATCCCTCTTACTGGTCTCAGTAGAGGACAATAGAGATCCAGGTCAGTCACCAAACTGTCAGGGCAAAGATACTTTGAACTGTAACTACTCTAGAACAATAAATACAAAGCAAATGTCAGTAAGAACTAAAAGCTTTATTCCTGGCAGAGATTTTTAAAAATTTCCTCATTGCTATCATTATCATCATTGCCGTCATAGTCATTGTGATTATCATTATTCAAGTTTAGGATGCATGAATCAGCAGGGAGAAAGTGTTGCTATACCAGATTTTTCTGTCAGGTTGGCAGATGTAACATGTTGTTGGTTCAAATGTTCCAGCTCACACCCCTGGCTCCTATGAATGTGGTATTTGAAAATGGTCTGGTCAGGGTCTGGGGATTTAGCTCAGTGGCACAGCACCTGCCTGGCAAGAGCAAGGTCGAGAGTTCGATTCCCGATACTGGAAAAAAAAAATGGTCTTGGCAAATGTTACGCAGTAAGACAAGGTCACACTAGACTGGGGGGAGTATTTCTTAACTCTATAGTAGTCCTTTTAAAAATTATCACAGAGAGGCACCCAAGGACGAACACTAAGGGAAGATGGAAGAGATACTGGAGGGATGCAGCTGTATACAAGGAACACCAAGGTATGCAGTCAACCATCATAAGCTAAGAGAAGGAAAGAAAGTTCCTTGCCTATGGCCTTCAGAGGGAGCATGGCCACTCTAACACCTTCTAGACAAATCTAAGATGTGATTGACCTCATCTATGCTAAGTGTAACTGTAGATTAATATTTTGCTTATAACTGTAGTATTAGTATTTTGCTTATAGTATTTTGCTATAACTGTAGATTAGACATTTGCTTCTTATTTACTGTTCTAGAATAGTTACAGTTCATAGTGTTAAGTCTAAGTCCTCCTTGCCAGGAGGACTAGATTTCTTTTCTGTCCTCAAACTGAGTTTTAAACCAATTTCTATTTGTTTTTTCTTCCCACCGATGAAAATTGTGATAGGTATTATGGTTCAGAGAAACTCATATGCATACATTGTCTTAGACAGGGTTTCCTCAGAGGCAGATATTGTGATAAGAATTTGTGCACAGTCATTTCTTTGGAGATGATAGACAAAGCACTGTTAAGGAGTGGGGACTAGGGATAGGGAAGGAGAAAGCAAAGAAAGGACCAATTACTAATCAGTTTACTGCCATGGGCAATGGGGCCTAAAACCCACTGGAGAACTCTAGGAGATAAAGAAGGATGCGCTTCAGCATTTTCTGTGGAGATGGGAGTTGGTCCTTTTGTCAGACATGCTTCTTTTCTTTCCTTCAAATATTTTGTCTTTATTTATACCCAGAAAGTGCAGGGTTTGCATTTCTAGAGTTTTTTTTTTTTTTTTAACCTCAAGGAGATCTACATCTTATTCTTTACGTTTGAATTCCAAAATCATAGTGGGAAGAATAGACCCAAATCAAATTGCATGCACTGTCTTGCTTGTTTCTAACAGTGCTGGAGCTTTCTAGCCTCTCACTGTTTATGTGTCACTCCAGAAGTCTTCCTCCTGAATTTGCCCCTTCATACACATTCCCTGGATGTAAGCCTTTAGTCCAGCTATTGTTTAAATCATTGCCCTGCATAGTACCTGAAGGAAGACAAGAAAAGATATCCTGAAAGGATAGTTTAAGGTAAAATTTCCACATACTTTGAGTCTGCTTAAAACAAAGAAATATAACTTTTCTGAGGATTTGAATTTGCTAAAAACTTTGCAGGCCTTAAAATCTGTTTAACCTATATGTATTTGTAAGGCTGGGGATTGAACCCAGGTCCTTGAACATGCTAGGCAAATGTTCTACCACTAAGCTACATTTCCAGCCCCTGATGTTTTTACAATAAATTTTTAAGACCTATCATTAGTTGCTGAGTCAGACTACCTGTTTTAGAAATGTATTTTTAAGCCTTGGATTTTATTTGGCAAGGAGCATATATGGAAAAGTTGGCAAGTTTTTGTTTCTGTAAAGATGTTTCTCTAAAAAAAAATGGCAAATGGGTTGGGTCTGGTGTGGGAGAGAGAGAGAGAGAGAGAGAGAAAGAGACAGATAGACAGACAGACAGAGACAGAGAGAGACAGAGAAGAAAGACAGAGACAGAGACAGAGATAGAGACAGAGAGACAGACATAGAGACAGACAGAGAGAAACACATTTTTTATTTGCACAGGAAAAACCTACCACAAGAACATGCTATCCCCCACTCACAGAGCCTTTTTGGTATTGCAAATTTTGTAAAAAAAATTCAAGGCATGCAAAAGAGGAAAGTTCTACATCACCTCAAACAATAGGAAGTGGCAATAGAACACCTGTTAAGTGAACTTGGTTTTCATTCCAGCAGCAGCAGTATTGAAATTTTCAAGGTGTGATAAATTATTATCCACCATCTGTTTTACAAAATGTTAATTCTTCTTCATCCAAAATTATAGTCTAGCAAATGAGCTCTTAGGAAAGCAACAAGTCATTATTCATATGAGGCTATATAGAGAAATTGGGCCGGAAATTATTAGCACAAATGATTTGCCAGAAACCAAGTGAAATCTTATTAAAGACCAGAGAAAATAGTGAATTAGATAATGAGAAGCAAAGCAAGCAGTCAGCTATAGGAAGAGGGAAAATAATATTTCCAGAGGTTAAACCAGGAGATGTTGGCTGTGTTATCTTTTATGAAATAATTACTGACCATCTCTAAAAGTTTTCAGATGGCATTTGTCTAGGGTTGCTGAGAATAGACCCCAGAGTTATAAAACATAGTAGTAGTCTTGGGCTTTTCTTTTCTTCTGTGGTTGTAATTTGTCACTGTGTAGAGGGTGTATACATGTACTTTCTTTTAAACTCTGCATATTATTGTTCTGTTATAAATATGTAACAAATATAAGAAGTGAAATAGAAAGTTGCCTACAGATTAAACTGTAATACCTCTGCCCTATAAATTAGAGTTATGTTTCTGAAAACATTCAGATTAGGCAAAGTTTTAGTTGAATGACTCAGGATTATATATAGGAGAATGTAGAAGTGAATCTCGAGAAAGATGGATATATATATGTACTTCTAAGCTCATGTCTACCTTGTGTCTATGTTTTACTTGTTCTATATCCATAAAGTCATTCATGGATACATGTACATGAAGTCATTCAAGCAATAGACAGCATACCAAATGGACTATAAATTATGGTTTTCATATCTAAAAATTTTTTAAAACATGAATTCAATGCAATCATTACTTTCAATGTCTTTGATCTTCTGATTATTTGTCTAGATGATGTTTTCTGACATTGCTGATAATTTTGGTAGGAAATAAAGAAGAGGAGTAGATTTTTCCAGGAAGAGGAGTTCTCTACATTTTGAACCTCCAAATTCATAGGCTTTCCTTACCCTGTTCTGAATTTTAAAGTTGTGAGATTGATTCTTAAGCAAGTTTACCAGCTCTTGGGTGCATTTGAATGGCACTGCCTAAAGGCCTAGGAATATCTTTCTTAAAAAGCTGAAAATTATTGTGTTTGCTGATCATATCATAATATAAAATTTAGTTGGAGAACATTTGGGGAAATTAAAAAGATCAAAGAAGAAGAGAAATCATTCAAAATCTTAACATCTCATAGTAGCTATTATTGATATTTTGGTACATGTTTTTTCAAATATATATTTAAAAATTCACGAGACATAATTCTAGTGGCACAGTAATGTTAAAGCAATGACATTAATTTTATTTTATTTTATTTATTTTTTTGTTTTTTTTCCAGTACCA